GAGTGAGAGGCCTAGAACCTAGACAAAGCACTTCAGTGCAATTCTTCCCTGTGCTCCTTCAAAAAGTCATCCTTAACTCTATACTGTAGCCACCAGGTCATGTTCACTGTCAGTGGCTGTGTCTACACGAGTGGCAGACTGAGCAGTTGGTAAGCACTATGCATACATAAGTAATAAATGACTGCACAGTATCCAGCATTACTGTGCAGTACCATCGTCACATGTTTTTTTCCCAATGCACAGTACGCACAGTAGCAATGACCTACTAAATAATTATTTAAAATTAAAATAAATAAATAAAATTATTTGTTACCAACTATTTGGAATAATAAAAGATATCACCTCTTCCATGGGTTTTGATTCCTTTTACATTTTAGAGAAACACTTTTATGTCACTACTACCATTCTAAACAGTCTTTAAATTATTGAACAAAACTGCTTGTACAATTCTAGATAAAAGCTTGGTAAAAGAAGTAAAGGAGAAGTTTTAATACAATATAAAAATCATGCAATTATAACAATTTTAAACCTTGAAAACACTCGTACAAAATCTTAATGATAGGAGGATTAAAGGAGAGGTTGATATTTATCATTGTGATTTTTAGAGGAAAATATTTTACACAGTTAGCATATCCATAATAATGTCCATTAAAATCGCAAAAAGTGTTCTAACTGTAGAAAATACTGTTCTCTAAAATGGGGGGAAGCACGACTATATAATAGTTGTAATGACTTCTTTATTTCTATCATTACAACCTGGTACAACTGTTTAGTGCTTTTATTTAGAATTCACTAGCTGCATAAAAAAACATAGATTTCTCTAAAAGTACCTAAAATAGATTTTGCTAAAAATCTAAAAATAAGTCTCCTTATATGCATGTACAACATTTCTTTATTTTGGTCCTCGTGAATTCACTGAAACATATACTAACTCCATGCAAAGCATATTTTTCTCCTAGAAATGCTTGTTTTCTCCAGGTAATTTGTTATTCTGTCATCAAGGCTTTATTTGGAAGGAGATTAATTTCTCAAAGTCCCTTAACATGAAAGGAGGCATGAAAGCTATTCATTTTATTTTTAATGCTTCATAATATTTTAAAGGATTTCTCCCCCCCCCAAATAGTCAACTGTATTAAATATAAACATGTCCAAACATGATGCCAAGAAGTTGTCAAAAAGAGGAGAAAGTGAGAGGGCAAAAGCAAAAATGGAATACTACAGTATGTCCAAAAATTCATGGGGAACAAATGTTCTGTAGCTTCTCTCCACCTTCTTTACTTGGCTCAAGAGGGAAACAGAGCTGAGGATTTGATCCTGAATGTCCAGATGCCCAAGTGGAGACAATGAGGGTGGGTGAACTGTGAAAGAAATGTATTAGAACTGGTTGGATCAGGTCACCTGCTGGTATCTCAAGAAGTAACTTTCCATGCCAATTAGAGTTTCACCTCAATGCCCCAGATGAGAGTGACCCCTCCCAACCTCCTTATGAATTCAAGCAAGAAAATAATGCAACCCCCACCCCCCACCCCAAAAAAAAACGAGGTGGAAACTAAATAGATTTGGGGAAATGGTAACATAAGAAGTCCAGAGAGGAAATCTATGAGACATTCTGCATGGTAATTCATGTAGAGCAGTATCTTGCTTGATGACCATGTCATGGGTTGTTGCCAACCCATAGAGTAGGCAGACTCATTTCCAATTCTGGTAGGGTGGCAAAATCTATTTCAGGGGTTCTCAGTTGTTTTAGACTCAAGGCACCCTTGGAAAATGCCAGCTTTTTGCTTTCACTTGTTTTTTGCTATGGAAAATGAAGCAATTCTTCTGCTGCAAAGAATTCAGAAAGAACAGAACAGGTCAGAATGCCTTTGACACTAAGGAGTCCTTCTTGAAACCTCTGGGTTTCTCTTTGAATCTTTGCAGAGCTAATATTGGTGGCACCCTTAAAAAGTATTTCCTGGCATCCCAGGGTGCTGCAACACCCTGAGTGTTGGTTCCAGTCTTACGTGTGTCAATTTACAATCAGTTAAACATATCATTTCTTATTTTGGTAAGCTTTCTTTTCTGACTGGGACGCGGCCCATCCCAGGTGTCATTATATTCCTTTCTGAAGGTGCTCTGCCCTGTGTCAGGGAAAAACCACAGCAAAGATCTCAAATGGAAAAAAGGCCCTGCTGTACTGGATTGAACCCCAAGGCCATCTGACCTGCCTTTCGGTCTCCCCACTGCTTAACTCACAGGAAACAGACTGGGGGAAAACCATCACTCCCCATGACAATCTGTCCTAGTTCTTCACCATAACCTTTTGGACACCTCCTGTTTTGTTTTTACCCCTTTTCTACCATGAATGTTGGATACTCCTGCTATCCCTATCCCTACTAAACCTGCTAAACCAGTTTAGCAGGCATATGGATATCCCCCTATCCTCCTGCCCGCCTTCCCAACCTTTTAAAACTTGGGATTCTCCTCAGAAGATGCCATTGCTTAATTTTCTCTCATTTTTTTTACTACAGAAAAATACTAGAGCCCTACTTTAGTTGCAAAAAGCTCATCAAGCCCACAGCAGGGTGGATGGATTTTTTAACCCTCTAGGTTTCTATTGGAAATCTCTGGGTTTGTCTGGTGAACCTGCTTGCACACCTAGCCATGCTTACACTGGATGACACCATGCAGCACCCCTGAAAGGAACATGAGACGCCCCAGGGTGCCCCAAATGCCCTGCCTGAGAACTGCGCTAAGGCCAATGCTTTCAACCTGGCTGGAGTAGATTACTCCTTGTGGCACCCTTCCCATGGATATATGTATGGGGAGGGGTGTGTATGGTTGTGTGTGAGGGTGTGTGTGCACATATTTGTGAGGTATGGGTGTATGCGTGTGTGAGCTGTGTATGTATGGGGTTGTCTGTATATGTGGGAGGGTATGGGGGGTATATGTGGAGGGATGCGAGTGTGTGTGTGTGGGGAATTGGTGGTGAGGTGGGGGTATATGTGTGGGGGTGTGAGGGTGTGCATGTGTGGGGGGTGCGGTGTGCATGTGGGGCATGGGGGTGTACGTGTGTGGGTGGGTGAGGGTGTGAGTGTATATGTATGCAGGGGGTGTGTATGTGGGGGATGTATGCGTGAGGGTGGATGTATGGGGGTGTGAATGTATATTTGTGTGATAATGTGGAAGATGTATGGTGTGGGTGGGTGTGTGAGGGTGAGTGTATATGCGTGGGAGGCTGCATATGTGTGGGGCGTATGTTTGTGTGGCTGCCTACATGAAGGAGTGGGTATCTTGGGGGGTGGGGTTCAGGGTGTCTGAGTGCGGTGGAGTGTATGTGTGTGGTGCGTGTGTGTGTGTGTGTGGGGGGGAATGTATGGGGGGTGTCTGTGAGTGCAGTGGGGTGGAATATATGTGTGTGTGTGAGCGTGTGGGTGTCTGAGTGTGGGGCAGTGTGTGTATGGGTGCATGTGTGTCGGTGTCCGAATGTGGGGCAGTGTGTGTGTGGGTGCGTGTGTCTGTGTGTGTGTGAGGGTGTCTGAGTGTGGTAGAGTGTGTGTGTGGGGGGGGGTCTGAGTGCAGGGCACTGCGTGTGTGAGGGTGTGGATGTCTGAGCCGGTGGAGTGCGCGTGTGTGAGGCGGGGAGGCGGCTGTCGCTGTGTGTGACAGACGGGGTCCCGCACGCCCCCGGGCGGGCGCAGACACCTGCCGGGGGCGGGGCGGAGGTCGCTCCCCGCCGCGCAC